TGAGCCCAGAGTCCCACCGTGTCACTCGGGTAGACGTAGAATCATTGAAACATCCCAAAAATTGTAATGCAAAAAGGTTAAAATCCATTTTGGTCTTTTTATTTTAACAAAAACATTTTTTTAGTCATTCTATTTAAAAAAAATCTCTTTTTAATCCCTAAAGTTTATTATCTAACTACTTTTCAATCCCTAAAATTTATTATTTAACTCTTTTTTAGTTTTTCAATTATCTTTTTACAAACGTGACACTTTAAATAATAAAAATTTCAAAACAAAAAGACAAAAAAGATGAATAAAAAAAAGTATAAAGAGACTAAAAAAGAACAAAAAAATCCCTTTTTTGTTCTCTCTACTTTAGAAAAGAGTCCCCTATTAGTTCCTCTCCTATAATCTAATTTGCTATGTGTGCAAAAAGATAACAAAGAAACTAAAAAGAAGCCAAACAATAAACTTCAAGGACTAAAAAGAGATTTTTTAAAGTAAAAAAACTAAAATGGAACTTTTTGCTAAACTAGAAAGACCAAAATGGGGTTTTAACCATGCAAAAATAAGCGCTTTCATCCTGACAGGTGACTAACAAGAATCATGCAGGCTTCCGTTTGCCCTGTCATAAAGGTCCGTCAGATTCTTTTGTCAAGAATATGTCCAATATATACTTCATACCTCCGTCAACAATCAGACTCATGGTAAGATTGTTCTGGTTTGTTTTACTTCTGTAACTCAAAAGGCCTTAGAAGCAACCGTATTCTGAGCTGCAAAATGATCTGAGAGGTGAGAAATTATATAATTGTTTCTGGCTAATCTGTCATATTATATCATATCTACACTCTTATCCTTTTTTCCATCTCTCAAGCAATTCCCTGAATTCCTAACTCATGAGTCGGTCTTAGCCGTTTGTCCAAACTTTTATCAGTACTTCCCTGCACATTTTAACTAGTTCTAGCACAATTTATACATACAGAATGAAAAGAAGAAAGTTACATTAATGGATTTACAAGTTGACAACGGGTTAGAAGGTCCCTCAGTTCAGGTTTGAGGGGATTAACATACTTATCTCCTTCATGAAATAGAGTTAATGCTACCCGAAATAACACCTACCCGTTATATGTTTTGTAGATGCCACCACAAAACTACGTTCCCCAAAATTTTGCATAAGCAAATGGCCTTCGTCATTGGATCCTCCCTACTGCACGGATCAACAAACAGGTTTCCTTCAAGAAACTAGCAGCCTTTTCTTCAAGTATCTAGTATGTACACATGTAGGTAAACCCTGCACTGAAAAGCAAAACATCACCAAGTTTCCTCAAAAAGAATTCTATAGATTTAGGGAAACTGATGATCAGTTTCTAAGGAACATCTAAAAGACAAAGCTTTAGTAAATGTAACATTTGACAAAATGTGACAGTTTTCTAGCATAAGAAAAACAAGAACTCCAACAGCCACACACATTTCAATGTAAGCCACTTGGTGAACAGATTTAAAGTCTAGCGAGAAGCAATGCTGTAGAAGGCAGAAAGTACACTCTGTAGAACTATGATCCTAGCACCCTATGGTGAAAATTTGGTTCACAGAACATAAAAAGAAGGGAAACCATAAGAAAAGAAGAACAAGGAAGATTAAGGTGGTCCACAAGCAAGGCTCACCACAGTATGTGTTAAGGTTGAACTTTAAACTTCTCACAACAAAGCACGTTGTTAGTCCAGCACATCTCTTCCAACCCCAGACATATGCACACGCATTTCACTCTTGCTAACAAGTTCAAATATGCAGATATCCCCCATCTTGACGTTATTATCACGAACAAAGGACATCCACCCTCCACAAAATGTATGTACATTTCGTCCTTTTGAGTCTGGAACTGAATTCACCGTCCAGCATCCCCCCAGCAAATTGCGTAGGACAATCTCTGTTTTGCAGTCAGGAAGATGCGCCATGGAGAACTTGTATGGAATTTTCTGCATTAGAGCAAAGGGTCAGTGAAATGAAAACCAATGTCAATTGCTGACAACCTCTTCAGAAGATTAATTACAACTTTTGTGTATTCTCGGTGAAAAAGGCTGTAATTTGGGTTCTTTAATCAATAAATAAATGCAAGGTAGGAAACAAAGAAAAACAACAGGCAGTTAAATATTCGAAATTTCTTCCTAATTTATGGTGTTATTTGTTATAATTCAAATGTGTTTGAACTTAAAAATTACTTGATTAGAAATGTTATGCTGCTGAATTTTTACAATGAAATTAGCTAAGATTGATGAACATGGTTAGCCAAACTTGAAAAGGAGCAATTGGGTGAAAATTTCTTACTAGAGTATAGGAACCACTGATGTTGAACTTCTTCATGATCCTCACAAAATGTGGAAAGCTAGAAGCAAAAGATTGAGCTGCTTTTTCTTCATCAAGTGCTAACATCATTCTCAAACCACCACTGCCTTCCTCTGTTTTACCGGCAAATTCAAGTAACAACCGCTGTAAATAAGTTCTATCCACAATGTAGATACTCCAAGGATGGAAAGAAGAATGTGAACCACCATAGACACAGAGAAAATATACACAAGTTATTTAAAATACACCTTAAGGCATCAATAAAGTACCCTAGGAAGCTTGGTGTTGCACCAAGCTTTTCCTCCACCAAAATACAAAAATTACTCATAGTCAAAAGTAGTGCTGGCATTTCTACTAATATGAAGATTATTGACTTGAAATCATAAGAGAGGGGAAAGTTAGAACTCTATACCTGGCCTTTCATTGCCTCTCCTCGACAAAGAGCAGAGTGCAAGGCTGGCAGATTTCTTCGAGGCAGTACCATATTTCTTCTCGTCAAGCATCTTAGACCCTTTATTATCACCCATTTGAAGCTTTTTCATGTACTTTGACTGGATCTTTGAAGAGTTCTTTCCCAATTTGTTTGGCATATTCTTAAACATTTTCTGTGAAGTGACAGCTGACCCAACATTTAACCCACTGGAATCTGCTTTTCCACTTTGCCTGTCCAGGTCTTCCTTTCCAACCCGAAGAATGTGTACACGCAATTCACATTTTTGCACAAGTTCAAATATACAAATGTCTCCAAATTTGATGTCATTACTGCGAACAAAAGCCAACCATCCTCCACAGAAAGTATGACTTGTATGTACCCTTGTTGTTGGCACAGAATTAACAGTCCAATATGCTCCTTTCAGGTTTCGAAGCACAATCTCAGTCTTGCAATTTGGAAAATGTTCTGTGGCAAATTTATATGGAATATTCTGCACCAGTAGAAGTAAACTGTGATTCACTACATTATAGGATTTTTTTCTTTCAATTTACATATGCATAAATCAGGTTTCATTCTGCCAGGCAGGCAGACTGGCCTAGAGAGAATTGTTTTGTTGCAAGAAATCTCTTCAAAGTAAGCAGTTCATATCAAGGCACCAACTAATTGACAAGGAACTGCTGAAAGCCCTAGTTGACAAGCTTGCATCCATTGAAGGAACCTCTACAATTTTCAACAAAGAAAGGTGTGTGTGTGTGTGTTTGCCTGATTGTAATGTGTATACAGGAGCACCACTGACTTTGAATTTGAAAACAATATCCTACATAGAAACCCAAAAGAAGGAAACTACTTACCAGAGTATATGAACCACCAACATTGAATCTTTTCATGGTTCTTACGAAAAATGGAAAGGAAGAAGTAAAAGATTGAGCAATTTTTTTCTCTTCATATTCTTCTAACATAGAAAGACTGCCACTGTCATGCAGATTCAAGTCATCCTCTTTATGTGCAACACTGAAAGACTGCAAAGGGAGAACACGCAATACTGTACCAGACACATCAACATCAACCTCAGCTTCCCGATTCTTGTTTATGCAACTGGAACTGGACTCAGAAGAGCCACCTCTAATTTTCTTAGCTACACTTTGAGAATCTTGATTTGATGAAGCAGCCCCTACCTGCCTTTCTCTCTTAATCCCCGCATTGTTGCCAGATAAGCTAGGATCCTGACTGCACTTGGAATGAAATGCAGCGTCTTTCTCACATGAACTTAGATCAAACACTTGGACAGTGAAACACAACTCACCATCATATCCAAAAACCAAAATGTCACCACATTCTAAGTGATGATCTCTCACAAACACCTCCCACCCGCAATCAAAGAATAATCCACCATTTTCCTCAATCAAGTCAATGTGCCAAGTGTTCCCACTAGGACCAATAAGTGAAACTGAGCCAGAGGTTCTGCTCTCCAAGTGTTTGGCAAACCCAACTGGAATTTTCTGGCACAGATAACCAGCATTAAGCAAATAAAAATAACTTTCCGGATAAGACTAAATTTAGTTGGCGACACTTAAAACTAAATCTTAGAGTGGCCCTCTGTTGCATGCATCAGTATTTCTGTATTATGAAGGAAATGAAAGAGATTAACAAGCTATCATCCGAATCGTTAATCTCCGCAGATGAATCACTAGTAAAATTATCATCGCAGAAACCCTAATGTTTCTTCAAATCAACAACAAAAACGAACCCTTTTACCATCAATGGGGAAAACAGAGTGATTAAAGAAGAAATTAGCGAATTACCAGGCGTTTTAAGCTTGAACTAGAGGAGAAGACATCAACGAAGTGCGGTCGTCTCGCTTTCACCGTCTCCATTTTCAGTATATCTTCAACTGAACTGATCGAAAGAAGAAAACAAAAAGAAAATTTTGCAGCAATAAGCTCAGAAAGACCAAACGACAGAGATTTTCCCAGGAAACAAACGGAGGAAGAGGAGTGATTTTGGAGAGAGAAAGAAAAATGCAAACCGAAAACAGAGAACGTTGGAGGCCAAAACGCAGCGGAGTGACGGCGGTTAATTCCATAGAATGTAGGCGTCCGACGTTGCGCCGGCGCGTGCTTCCACGATATACGGTAAGTTGGACCTGGGTTAAATAAACCAAGCGGGCCTGCGATCTGCTATTTTGCTAATACGATTTACTTTACCGTCTAAGTTTGAAATGTAAAACGGGCTGGTTAAGAGCCAAGGCCCAATTTCAACATATCAGCTTTGGTTAGGCATTCACAACCCCCCCCCCCTTTGGTACATTGTAACGCTGGGACTTAGGATTGAGTAAAGTTACTAAACTCTTATATATATATATATATATATGACAACGACGTAAATAGTTTAATAGTTATTTATTTTCGTTAAAAATAAGAGATTTTAAGTTCGAATCATATGGTATGCAAATGAGGTAAGAGAAGAAATGAAAGATAGTTGTCCCTATTGTACAACCAATATCACATATATATATTAAAAAGTTAGCTCCTTGATATCACATGAATTTAAATATCTGATCTTGACCTTAAATAAAAAATTTTTAACTAATAAATACTAACTCAGTCAAGTTTATTAATAATATTCAACTCTATGATGAGTTTTAAGGTATAGTAATTAGTTAAATTATAGATTAAAAGGCGCTACTGTACCAATATGGTAAAAATTCAAAATCTTTATTCCCCCGTCCGACCTCTCTCCCCAATGAGGGTTTTCGAGCAGCAAGCCCATCTCATTAAAAAAAATAAAATAAAATTCCTGTTATGGGTTCTGGGATAGTAGAAAAACGCCAAAAGAAATGCCTTCTTAAAGAAAGAAAAGAATGTCTAAATTAACTAAACCCCACTCAATGCGGAGTTTGGAGTTCCTAACCTTGGAAAAAATAAAGAAGAAGAAAGAAGTCTATCTTCTCCCTAGGAAAATTCTATTAAAATTATTTTCATGATTTTTGTGTCCATTATGTTGAAATTGCTAATCCAAAAAAGAAAGAAAAACTTATACCCTTTTCTTGAGGGGAAAAAATAGACAATCCTTTTATTTCATTTTCATGTGTCACATTCTATGCGTTGAGCTTTGCATATGGAATCAATCATATCATAGAAAAAAAAAAAAAGAGGACAAAATACAGAGTAAAACAAGGATGGTGATTCTAATTTGCTGGTTGTAACAGATACACAACTACTAGTCAACAATCTGATATAAATTTATGATTTGTGCATGTGAGAGTCTGGACAAAGTCAAAAGCACCTGCCTAATAAGTGATAACTCAATTATCCCTCACTTGAACAAAGTCATACATAGTTTGAAAGGACAAGAAAAGTCCTAGACCTTTTGCCAGTCTAATATACTCTCTTTCTTAAATTAGTCAAACCTATGCATTTGCAGCCAAAAGTACTCAAGGCATGCGTTTAGGTTCAGCCTCACAAAGATTGGTAGAAGTTTTCTTAGATTATACCAAAGTTGGAAGCTGAAACTGCTGAAGTCAATCAGAAATCAAAAGCACACATCAATGACAGATTACCAAACAATCAAAACAATTCTGGTGGTTAATATTTACTCTTAATAGATGTTTAGAGCTGATAATATGAAGAAAATAGACAAAATGCTCCAAATGTCAACTTCATACTTTTCAATCTTCACACCATTTCAATTCTGTTTTGGATGACAAAGTAACTTAAAAAGTGACAGATGTATGATATAACAGTAAACTCTACATGACTAATACAGAAAATACTTTGAAGAAGAATGATAAAAAGAAATCATCTTCTCACAAGGAATGACTCTAAGGGAATGACTCTAAGGGAAGAGGAAAATAAACAGACCACACAAGACCGTACCTTTGAATCTCAACAATATTTGCTTCAGTGAAAGTTGCAAGAACCATTTCTTGCTTTTACACATTCCCTTTAACAAGAAAGAAGCCTTCACTCAAGCATTCCAAGCCTACGTTTCTGAACCTTCTGGAATTGTAGATAAATTATCTACTTCAAAGAATGATGGATTGAGAAACTTGGCCACAAAAGCCCAAGTCCTATAGACATCCTCAAAGTTGCTCAGAAAACCAAGTGATGCTGTGACAACCTTAACTCGGAAGAACATACTTTTTGCATCTTGACAACTATTCATTGGCTGACACAAGGCAGAATCTTCAAGCTCAAGTGCTCGGCACTGCTGCTTTGAGCTGTCCACAACCCTTACATGACTGAGTATACCAATACCAAGAGAAATACCATTTTTCTCGGCTAGCTGCTGAACAAGTTCTGGGTGGATTAGCCTTCCTCCACCGCTTTCTCGCACATTAAAGGCTACAGCTGCACCTCTTTCATATTTGATCTTAGGGCCATATATTTGAACAAGATGCATTCCCTTGCCTTCATCTGAACTGGGTAGCCGGAGTTGAAGTAATGAGGTAACAAGCCAATTGATCAGGTACCGGAGTCTGAGGGTCGTTTTGTTGAGGCCCAACATGTTAATGTGATCAAGATGCCGACAAATTATCTCAGGCTCCTTCCTTTCCCATTCCTGTGCATCATCATATTCTCCACTAATGCTGGACTCGTCATCACCCATGGTAGTCAATGATATTTCTCCAGGCTCCAAGTGAGTCAAGTCATCTTTGCGACTATATTCCATGCTAAAAGATACTCTGCGATCCATGCTGGCAACTTGATCTTCCTCATCTAAACCAAAAAATCTACCACCAGCAAACCTGCTCCTTTCCCTCCTTCCCAACAGCCTAAACTCGCCCTCCGTCTCCCTCCTTATAGCACTTTCTTTCTTTTCTTGTTGAACTTCAGAAGCTGACAAATTATCAGAAATTTCATATTTAGGTCTGAGTCCATTTAGCTTAGGAGTCAACTTAGAATCAGCTAGCACTGACTCATCTGTGATAGAGGATTCTTCATGAATCTCTGTAGGGTGGTAAGAATCTGTAGATTTTTCACCATTTCCTGAGGCAAAGTCTGTTTCGGTTGGCTGTTCTTCAGGAATCTCCTTTACAAGATCAAGCTCCTGTGACACAGATAACACAGCTGCATCAAAAGATAACACAGGATCTTGAGATGTCAGGTTGATCTTGCTGTCTTCATACATTGGGCTCTTGGGTATTCTTGACTTCAATTTTGGAGACAGGTGCTGATTGTTCCTCTTCCCAGAAAACCATGACCGTGTTAAGGGAGAACCTGTTTTCTGCTTGTTCAACTGGCCTGAATAATCAGAACCAATTGGACTCTGACCCAAATCTATCCAGTAAGAATTATCTGATGATTCATCCTCACTGAAAATTGGACTTTTCATAAGATCACCAACAGAAAGGGTCTCAGCTTCCTCAAAAATGGTGCTTGCCCCATCCCTGTCTGAGCTATTATTATCATGATCCATCTCAGTCTCAAAAACATCCCTGACCTCGTTCAGAGTAAAAACACCAGAAAAGGCAGGCATTTGTGATCCCCCATGTTTTTCATGCAATGATTTTTCATTTTCATTGGCTGCTTCATCTTCAATTTCAACTGTAAAATCAAGTCCATCCACAGAATCACTCAGGTACTGAGGATAAACTGGGAGTATCCTCACCATTCCAGACCCAGTATGCCCACACTGACCTTGGAGGCTTCCCATCACAGATTTCTTGATTAATAGGCATCCAAAACCTGTTGGATCATGACCAAACACTCTATAGAAAGATGTAATAATAAAGTCTGGCCTAAATAAGGACAAACCAAGTGAATCCATGTCTTTTGGACCTAAAGACCCAGCATCAAGCAGTACATGCCAATTGTTTTGTTGAGCAAGAGCCATCCACTGGTAAGAATACTTTGCACCAGTGACTCTAGACTGAACAGGAAACACAAAAAGGCCATTTGCATGCCCTTTTTTCCTCTTCTTCTTGCTTGAAATTTTCTTTCTCAGCTCCTTAGAGCAGAGTTTCAGGGATGGCCATTTGAACCAAGCATTGTAGACTTTAGCACCTTTCTCCTTAGCACACTGAGCCATCCAAATTACAGATTGGCTCTCATGATCAAACATGGTCAACAACTTCTTATTCATTTGAAAAGAGTAAGATTCAGCAAGCAATTTAAATGCAGATCCTCTACTAACAGTAAAAACAAGGCCATACTCGTTTGCAGGGATGTTCAAATGGTCAAAAATTCTAGTCTTTATATCATGTTCAACAGTACCACACTCTGCACCTCCGTAAAGAGCATGATTACTCAAGTTAGCAGTTATTTCAGACAAAGTAAATGCTGGTGTATCCCACTGCTCTTGAATTTGAGTATAAGAGAACAGCCCAAAGCCGCAGTAATCAAGACATACCTTAGCAGAAGACTCGGTGAGATGCCCATATTCCTCCATTCTAAGCTGGTCAATCTTTTCTGTGGATTGGAACTTGGGATACATGGTGAGGAACTTGGAGAAAGCATCGGGAATGTCAGGAATGGAATCTTCGGTGCAAAAAGTACGGTCTGCAGCTAGAGAGGTGGCGTTCAAGAAATCATTCTGGGTACGGAGTCGAGCAAGCGACCTTGATCTTCCAATGTTCCCTTCCTGATTCAAAGACAAAGAATCAATGTCTTGAGATTTTGCAAGAGACCCATCTTCGGATGCCTCTTCAAGAGCTTCTCTAAGTTTGTTCTCTTGCAGTTGGCGGAGAATAGAGGGCTTTTTCTTCTCATCCTCTTTTAAACCTAATCCAGCCTTCCTCCTGCTTCTGCTCTTCTTCTTGTCCACAATCAGAGCTGCACAGTGGGATATTGGTTTCCATAGTGAAAGATGCATGAATGGCTCTCTTACTTCTCTCTGCACCAATCTGACTGATACCCAGAACCAAGAACCAAACTTTTCCTTACAGCCACACCTTAAGTACAGCAGAATCAGTTTCCAGACCCAAAAAAAGCAAAAGGGGTTTCTGGGCGGTCTCAAGAATGGAAGCTTTAACTTTTTGAAGATGAAATGTTAATTAGGCGCATAGATTGAGCGGCACTTCAAACTTTAACTCAACCGTTTACTTTATTGCCTAGAACATTCAAAAACAAGAGATACAAAGATTGTGGAATCAGTCATCAGGACTTTGTTAGATCAAAGAGGAAACAGAAATAAAGAAGAAGAAAGAACAAAGAGGAAAACAAAGTTTATGTTGATAAGAATCAAACCTTTAAGGCGATCACAGGCACCTTAGCTTTAGCATCATCATCCTTTAATATGAGGGTTCAACTTCAAATTCAACAACACTACATTCAAGAAGGGGAAATTAAAGTACATCCAAAGTCCCAATCCCTCTAAAGACGCAAAACCAAGATTCAAATACATCCCAAGAAAAGAATCAACCTTCAAAAAAAAAAAAAAAAAACCCAAAAGGTTTAAAGCAGAAGAAACCCAACATTCCCAAAAGTACAAAGATTTAAAAATTTGGAAGAATACCCAGTAAAGAATGCAAAGAGGCAACAAAAGAAACCTACCCAAATTCAGAACTGAGGAAATGAAGCAAATGCAGATATAGTTCTGGATGCACAGAAATTATGGCGAGGGGAAGCAGAGGGATTTGTAGCTCCCAGTTCCAACCAGTACTGCCTTCCCTAACCTCTATTTTCTTGTTGCTTGATTCCGGAGGGCGGAAGCTGCTTAAGTTGCGGAAGTAGACCGGAAGCAGAGAGCAAAAAACTCCTTTTGCAACCAATCAATTCCTCATTTACTACAGACAGTTAATGCAAACAGTTTGCATTGAATGCTGCTGCCACTCTCTCTCTCTCTCTCTCTCTCTCTCTCTCTCTCCATTTCCCACCATTATTTCATCTCCCTTTTTTCATTCCAATTATGCCCCTCTCACCATCCCATTACTCTCTCTATCCAAGAACTGCATAATTATTAAATGGTTTTTGTAGCTGTTTTTTTTATAGAAATATATAAAAAAAACATAAAATTTTATATTAATTTTTAATATTAATGTTAAGTGAAGAAATTTAAATTTTTTTAATTTGTACATAAATGTTTATATCAAATTTATAATTTTTTATAGATTTTAAGTATAAATAGTATTTTTTATATTTTATATTATATTTATTTAAATTTTACATAAATTTTTATATCAAATTTATAATTTTTTATAGATTTTAA